ATTGCTCAGAAGGGGACGGTGGAGTGTGGTAGATGCAGCTAAAATCGCTGTCCATGGACCACCACTTTGTGAAGCGCACAGTAGACCTCGTTCCCATCCACGGTTTAACTGTTTACGATCTCTGACCGGTACTATAACTGAACTGCGCCTCGGACTGCACAATCTGCACCTAACTTAGTGAAGCATATGTTTCTGTTTACACATGCAGCATCTAGGCCCATTTAAAATTAGACGTTTGTTCTAAGCTGTGTTATAGATTGTCATAACTTTTTGGTGTTTAAGTTCAGCGATAATACCCATGTAAGCATTCAGGAAGTCAAGTTAGGCGAACGAGCGTTTTCGACGAGACGATCGGGTGACATGAACTAATTGTAGGGCCCGTCCCTCATCCCCTCTGCCCTTTGATCTCTTAACATTTTTCCCCTCTCTCCCTTAATTACCGCTGATTGGTTGCTTAAACTTTTTGGTGTTGTTGTTGCTGTTGTTGAGCCGTAAGTTGTCCCTTTCAGCACCACTGGTCCACGGTATATCTAGTCAAAACGCGTGGATCATGACCTTCCGGTCGTCCAGACACCTTGCCACTTTGGAAAACCGGGAGAGGGAGGGGATGGTTTGGTAAAGGGGTGATTTCCTGTGAGTATTTTCACTCAATCTTCGGGCACACTGGCTTCAGGGATTTCAATTTTCTGAAGTTCCTCTCGTTTCGCAAACCATTCATTAACCAAAGACTGAGTACTTAATAACACCACAGGTCATACTGACTGTTAATTGTGCCCTAAAATCACGAAATCGAAATAATAATTCCCCATGATATTCTGGGTTTCTGCTCAACCCAAACACTTTGAACTCTTTTTGGGTAACGTACTGTAACGAGCAAGCGAGTGAACGTACCGTTCAAAATGAGAAGATATTTTTATGTCAGAGAGCGAGTTTATTTGTGAATGTAAGTGGGCCGGATAGCGAGGCACAAGTGTGCTCGAGAAAAGAAAGCGTCAAAACACGAGCGGGCAACCAGTAAATCCAAAGGCAAACGCCACAGGAAAGCCGGAATTGACCGCTGTCCAATCAGGCGTCTACCTTTGTGGCCTCCTTTAGGATTGGTGCCTCA